ATTCTTACTCGAGCAAATGTGATGTAGATGGTGCCGCTGACCTACATTCTTCATGGGCTACCTGCACACCAATTTTCAGTCGCCCAGCTCTTGTATGGACTGAGATCCGAGGGAGGGATACTTTTGTCAAGTAGTGTATGTGCCATTCTGTGCTTTAAAATTTTTCTCATCATACCCGTAAGAAAATCTTGTGTTGCACCAATAATCATTTCTCCATTACGTGGTGTAACAAGATTTGATTTGGTCTAAATAATTCAAACAAAAAAATGAAAATATTTTATTGATAAAGAAAAATTTTCTTTACCCCCATAAGTACAAGTGCTTCAGCTTTAGCTTCTTCTGTTTGTGGTAAATGAAGATTCATTTCATCTCCATCAAAATCAGCATTAAATGGTGAACAAATACATTCATTAAATCGAAATGTTCTATGAGGCATAACTTTTGCATATAATGCCATGATTGAAAGACGATGTAATGATGGTTGTCGATTAAATAAAACAACATCACCATCAATTAAATGTCGTTCCACAATATCACCATATTAAGATAAAAATTATTTAATACAGAATAAAAATATCAATAAAAAAAATAGAATAAAAGTATTTACACGTAATTTAGTAGCCATATTATTTCGATCACCATATTTAAGAAATGTTTTTTGTTCAGTTTTGGATTAATTATAAAATTTGCACCTGGATGAACATCAGGACCATTTCGAACAAGTTGTCGAATAAAGTCTATATTTGTTTTATTAACGATTTCAGGATAAGACATTATTTTTGCAACATGAATTGGTACTGCGACCTAAATAAATATATGGACAAAACTATTCGTTAGCGATATGACTTCTCAAAATTAATAGATATCCTATAGAAATCAGCGTTGAAGATCTTTGTTCAGAGAAGTTATCAGTGAAACGGTAGTCTTAGCGATGTGGTACAAAGCAAGGATGTCGACTTTTATTTTATACATTTTTGTTTGACAATATTTAGACTGAAAAATTGCTAGATAAACTTTTTTCTGATCATGACTAAACTTTTCAAGAAAAATTGATTATGGAAAAATGCTCTTATTACTGAATAAGAAGTTCAAAATCGATTTCGAAGAGTACAAATTCTTCCTCTGAATCTCTAGAAAACCGAATTCTAAGAAAAACCTTTGTTTTTTTAAGTTCAATCTTGCTGAAAATTTCAACAAAGAGAGACAGTTCGTACCGTAATCTATCCTGAAGTTTTCGGATTTTTTTCTCATATAGTTACACAGATATTCGGCAATTAAATTTTAGTTCATGAATTAATTAGGTGATTAACTTTACGTAAATATATCTCTAATAGTTCAATCGATTTATGTATATATATTTATTAAATAATATTATAGTGTAATTAATCCAATGACTTCATGAAGAACATTAATACGATTGAGTTGAAATAATATGATGTTGATACCAATGTTAGAAAATATCAACAATCAGGAGAATTCATTTTGTTTTTAGATGAAGTCTCTTTTTATATACATGGTTTATTAATGAATTTAAAGTGAAAAAAGTATTTATGGAAGACATATATAAAGAATTGGTTGAATTCAAAATAAGAGTCGATAATAGGAATAAATTAATTCGAAAATAAACTTCTCATGGGATCTTTTAAAAATTGTATGTATTTCAGTTGATGGCAATTATTTTAAACATTTTTGTTGTAAAAAAGAATTATATGAAATAAATCTTAAAAGAATATATTATTACATTATGAAAAAGCCGACTAAACCGTTCGAATTGGATAAAAGATTTTTACGTAAACAGTCTTGACGACTGTTGGAATATTCTGTACATATAGTTTTTCTTTTATATGAAAATGAAAACTTACTTCATCAATACGTAAATTTGGATTTGGTGAAATAACTGTTCGAGCACTAAAATCCACACGTTTACCAGATAAATTTATTAACAAAAGATTTAGTCGGATTTGGTGATCTATCTTGAATCAAGATAGTATATATGTTGTTGTGTAGAGCGATTTGTGGCGCATCGAATGATATATACGATATCAAGTTTTCCTCAAATTTTGATGTTCTAAGAGTCTATATACTAGTTATGAATTTTGAGGAATATATATGGTACTCATTGACATTGTGGTCCTTAAGATAAACTTAGGAAATTTTTAGCTTTTATTGTTGCTTTCTTCATACTTACAAAATATCGAGCTCTATATGTTTCACAGATACTATCATACGGAATAGCAGGGATATATTGTCCACTTGCAAGGTTGTGCTTTGAGCAACCTTGTTTTTCTATATGAAAAAGCTTGTATGTTGACGAGATTTTAGTATTTTTATAACCGGAAAAGAATTGTTTTACCTTCCGATCCCTGAAGGGACATAGCAAGAATATGGTTGCAGAAAAGAAATCTGTAATTTTATTCAAACTATCTAGGCTTCGTTTATGTATGAACTTCTAGAAGAATCTATAAATAGTTATCTTAGGCTTGCTTCAGAAATCAATTTTTCTCTATTTCCGTACCCCCACGAGGGATTCCGAAGTCAAAAAAGTTTTTTTCTATTTTCTCAAGCAATTATTTATATCACTTCGTTAGAGATGCCGTGCTGATCACGGCTACACATACATTTTTAGTAGAATCATTAAGTATTATTAAAACATCATCAATATACTGACTTCTTCATATAGGAAAAAAAGGTCACTCTAGGCAACAATCTTGCACGTAGACAAGAAGTCCCTTCCATTCCGTAAGATATTATCTGTGAAACATATAGAACTCAACAGTGTGCAATTATTGAGAAAGTTTCACGTCGGTATTCGCTTGTTCTATACCACACAGTTGAATACACAAGAGTACAATTTTGTCAAGAAATGATTTACAATCTAAGGAAAGGGGACATTTTGAGAAATGAAGAAAGCAACAGTAAAAACTATTGATTATAGAAAATTCAAAAGCACCTATAACTGTATCAAATTAAGATTAAAATCAAAATTTGCATCAGTTTATCTTAAGTACCACAATACCAATGAGTACTTTATATATCCCTCAAAGATTATACCTAGTGTACGAATCTTCAGCACATCAAACTTTGAGGAAAACTTGATTTTCTATATATCATTCGATGCGCTGCAAATTACTCTACAAAACCATATATATTCTATTCTGGTTCAAGATAAGTTATCAAATCTAGGAGCATTCTTTCACTTACAGATAGTCCAAAAGTATTGGGATACCTAAGATCATTCCACCTTTCTTCAAAATCGATTTTAGTCTAGGAACAAGCAAATTGTATGAAATTTTTAGGATATGTTGATGCTGTAGTGATGAGTCTATGGTAAAATTTTCAGCTCTATACCATGACATTTCAGGAAGATATTCACCAGACAAAGGTCAACAATAGTTCGTTTGATAATCCAAAATTCTCAGTGGCTCTTTATTATATACATTCAATTTTTTTCTTGTTTCAGAAAGCATGCCACAATGGAGGGCATGAAAGAGCCCTTTTTTTTAAATTCTTTCATTTTAAGTGAAGGAACCAGACGGTAAACTCAAGTACTAAAAGAAGTCGGGGAAAAAGGAGTTTTTTGAGTTACTTGACTTGTGATGCCGTTTTCTCGCTTAAAAAGAAAAAATTTGAAAAAAAGGGCTCTTTCATATCCTACATTGTAACATGCTTTTTGAAACAAGAAAAAAATTGAGTGTATATAATGAAGACTCACAGAGAGTTTTGGATTGTCAAATGAATTATTGTTGACCCTTGTTTGGTGAATATCTCTCTGAAATGTCATGGTATAAAGCTGAAAATTTATCATAGACTCTCCACTACAGCATCAACATATCTTGAAAATTTCATGCAATTTATCTGTTCCTACACTAAAATCGGTTTCGAAGAAGGATGGAGTGGCCTTAAGTGTCTCAATGCTTTTTGGACTATCTGTGGTTGAAAATCATTTGTTGAATGTGATATTTCATGCGAGGAAACATGACACGAGATTTTTAGAAGTATCTCGTTCTATGAGTCGGAAAATCTTTTATGGTTGGCCCATTTCGTGCGATAAATCATGGCAATGCATCCCATGAAACCGTTTTTTCTCTCTCATTTCATCCCATACGAAAATCTGATGCATATCAGTGACGCAGCCAAGGATATGAGCATTAAACAATTGTCCATGGATCTTGTTGATATGATACCAATTGTCGAATGACGAAAAATCTTGATACATATACATTTACAAAGACACAAGTGGTGTCATCTTAATATATTGTACCTTTTTGTTATTTAACAAAGTAATCTAGAAAGATCAATTGGCTACTTTTTTCATTACATCGTTGCTCATAATGACAATAATTCAACAGTATTATTTTAGTCAAAATACTCATTATTCCACTTATATTCTCCAATGGTTCTATTTGTGCTAATTCATACTTCTTGACGTAGTATGTTTAAATGTTTAAAAGTTGAAGAGTACTTTTCTAAAATAGTAAAAAACAAAAACTAATTTGTTCACCTCTTAGTTAAGAGTAACGAACTTCTCTTCAATGAACATCACTTTTTGTGATGGCAATAAGTTTTAAAGAACCTATAGACCAATTAGTTTTTACTTGCACAACGCTGCCTACTCCTCAAAATAATTAAGCTGAGAAGCGATCAATGATTTAAAAATTTCTGGTTACGCCACTGATGGACATTTAAAAAATGTCTATTAGACGAACATCGTTTGAAAATATAAAAAATTAGTTCGATTAAATTATTTTTTTACATAAAATAATATCTTAATTTACGGAGAATACTACATCAAAACAATTTTCTTTTGCTTCGATTGTTAAGCTGTTTGACATCTTGTATGATCAGAGACAAAATAATCCTGTTAATTTGGAAAATTCTAATAGTTTGAAACTTGCACAAACTGAAATAGCTGACTCTTTCATTGTACGTGTATTTTCAAGATAATTAAGGCAAGTGATGTGAAAAAGGACTTTCATAGTTCACTAATACTACATCTCTCTACTCAGAAAAAGAACTGATAATTTTTAATATCACAAATTTGTTGACATAATTGTAAATGATTTCTCCATTAAACTTTCCAACATGTCTTTCAGACTGAGAAATAAACGGTCAATTATTCATCATGCAAGAGCGCCTATTCGCCGATTTATTTTTATTTTTTTCCATAATGTTCGCAACTTTGTCAAAAAACGAATGTCAATTATTGTAATAAGAATTGGATCTAGAGCTATTTCTATATAACTCAGTAAAGAAGTAAAAACACCTGGGTCACTATTGACATCAACAAATTGACAAGCAAGGGTATCTGGACTCCATAAAATAAGCCAAATAGAATAAAATGCTACTGCTTTCAATAGAAGTATTCGTTGACGTCTACGACGATGAAAGATAACTTGTGCACTTATAACACCTTGTATTGAACTAACATGATGTATACCAAGACATAGAACGATAATA